CACACACACACACACACACACACACACACACACACACACACACACACACACACAGTCTTTCAGGACCACAACCCTACACAAAAGCCTGCAGTGGCCAGGCATGGTGGCACATGCCCCTAATCCCAGCACTTGGGAAGTAGAAGCAGATGAATCTCTGTGAATTTGAAGCCAGCCTGGTTTACATTGGGAGTCCCAGGCAAGCCAGGGTTACACAGTGAAGTCTAGTCTAAAATATAAAAATTAGTTTTAAGAAGTCGACAGCAATCTCCCACAAGCAGTACTTGTCCGAGAACATTCGCTCAGCAACTGTCCGTTCACCCTCAGACTGAGGTCGTTGTAGTTATTACTTGTTACAGCCAAACGGTATTGCCTTAGGAAATATTTTGTCATCCTCCTCCATTATTGCCTTTAAAAATCCCCCTCACCTCAACCTCTTTGATTGGTCCCATAAACCACCATGGCACAGGCATCCTCCCACAGAGCTATTCCCAAATAAAGCTTGATTTCACATCCATCTTAACCTCTTTGTATTTCCCCAGGTCCAGCACATTGTCTACCTGACAGCTTATACTCATATGTCAAGACTAAGCCCAGAAGTTATTACCTACTAGAATCTACTCAGGCTTTCCCAGGCGAACCTAAGTCCTTTCTCCTCTGTTTGCCAATATTGCCCTTTTTCTGCCACACACCAGTAATTGTCAATTTACATGCCTTTCTTTCTCTAGATCAGCGATTGGCAGACTTTTTCTTTGAAAAGCCAAATAGTAAATATTTTAGGCTTTGAGCTCTGCCACAGCAACTCGACTCGGCTCTTTCACTGCATCGAAAAGGCAGCCACAGACAATACATAAACAGATGAGCTTGGCTGTGTGCCAATAAAACTTTATTTATGGACACCGAAATTTGAACTCGTATAATTTTCATTTGTCTATTCCTGCTTTCCATCTGTGAGTCAGCCTCTCTCTCTCTCTCTCTCTCTCTCTCTCTCTCTCTCTCTCTCTCTCCCCCTGTCTCTCTCTCCCCCATCTCTCTCTCCCCCCCCATTTACTGCCCCCCCCACTCCCAGCCCCACAGGGTAGGACTTCATGGAGGGCTTTGCACAAAGATGCCCCAGCCTTCTCCCAGGGTTTCTGCTATCTGGCTAAGCCTAGAAATTTGACTTTTTAACTGATTCCTAGGTGCAGCTGGAGAATCACAGCTCTAGGTGACAAATTCAGGAAGGCAGGCTAGAAATGCCAGCACCAGGCAGGGAGGAACACAACAAAGCCTGAAATGTCTCAATAGGCACTGGGATATCTATTGAAGGAATAACCAGATATAGAGACAAGAATTTAAGTCTTGGAGTTAGGAGAAGATAAAGCGTGAATATTTGTCAATGAAGATTAACACCTGCCTCCTAGGTCTGTTAAGACGGCCCAGTGAGAGCTACGTACTCTGCCAACAAAATGTGCTTCCCTACACTAGCCGAGGATTCCGATGCCCAGCCCCTTGGGGTCGGAAAGAGGATGGAGAGGGTCAGAGCTAACTCCTCCCTGGACTCCTAGTGGGTGTGGCCGCAGTCCCGCCCCAGTCCCACACTCACCTCCTGCATGAGGTTGCGAAGGAAGATGGCCTTCTGCCTCAGCGGGTCGTGCACCAGTCCATCCGAGAAGAAGATCATGCCCTGTGGGAAGTTGTGCTGGGACAGCCACGACACTACCCGCTGCTTCTGCATGTCCGGCCGCCCCGTGATGTAAAGGATCATGTAGCCCAGGTCCTGCCAGTGCCTGGTGAGATGGCATTGCTGGGTCCAGCTTGGCCCCCTGCAGGCTGCCCACTGCCCCTGTCCTGACTGCCATCGCCCTCTGGAGAAGCCAGCAGTAATGGCAAGGGGGCTCTCAAGTCCTTGCTCCCGGTGGGTGAGTGGTGTACATTTCCTCAGGATGGCCCGTGAGAACTGACCCAACTTGGTTCCTCACTGTTACCTCCCCTGCTTCTGCCTTCTCCACTAACAAGAAAACTTCCAATATGCCCAGGCCAGAGGCTTTGCGCCCACCTCCAGTGCCTGGTCCTTAGTTTCTGTCCCATCTTTCCCATGGACTACAAAAGTAATCTCTCTCTCTCTCTCTCTCTCTCTCTCTCTCTCTCTCTCTCTCTCTCTCCCTCTCTCCCTCTCTCCCTCTCTCCCTCTCTCCCTCTCCCTCTCTCTCATGTGCTTAGTTTTACTATCTATAGGATGGAGTTAATCATCCAAACACCCCATAGGGTTATTCCAAGGATAAAGGCATTAGTCCTAAAACCAGAGTTGGCTTCATTTTCATCCTTGACAGTTTCATGGCAATTTCTAGAAACCACAAACCTAACCCTGTTGCTCCTTTTCCTGAAATCATACCTGGCTCCCTAGTGGTGAGGTAACATTTCAAGGCTTCCCTCTATCCTTGGGCTCTCCCCGATGAGTAGAATCTCCTTATCCACATAGGGCTGCTCTGGCACCCCTGTACAAATCCTGTGCTCCTGGCTCTGGACCCTCCCCTGCCTGTCTACATCTTCATCCTTCAGGATCCCCCTTCCAGGGGGAAATTCTCCTCATTTCCCAGGTACAATCAGTTCTTTACTCTGTTTTCCCTGGATGGCCCAAGGTACAGATGAGCCCAGATCTGGGTGGCACTAGCTAGCCCCTAACTGGCTGCCACAGATTGGGCTTTCTAAAGACCATCCGGGAAGATGCGAAGATGCGCAATGCAGGTGTTACTGAGATGTTGGGAGTTCCCCGGGGGACCCCCGGGCAGATGGGATCTGTGCAGGCAGGCAGGCAGGCGGGTGGGCCCTCTGTTAGACTAACAGAAAGCAGTGTCTGGCAGCTAACTAGGTGAGGCAGCACTGTGTGGAAGGAGGGCGGAGTCACAGAGGGAGAGAGCACAGCTCCCATCTCCGCTGTGGGATATACCAGCCAACCCTCCCAGTGGGCTGTGCAGGACCTCTCCTCCAGAGCCACAAAGCAGCTGGAAACCACTCTCTCTCCAGAACCCCAAAGTCAAGCCAGCTTCTCTCCCTGAGCAAGGCAGGGCAGTCCCTACTACCCCAGCTGCCACAAACTCCCAGTGCCCACCCCCCCAATTTCTGTTCATTCTTGGGGTCTAAGCCTCTAATGTCACTAATGACTATTTCTCATCCCTGGTTTATTTTCCTCCGCTGGTCTCAGATTCTCCCACCAGCAGCAGCCTTCACAGCAGACCCCAAGCCAGCGCCTGGTCTGGAGCTGACCCCAGAGAAAAGGTAAAAGAATGCCCAGGAGAAGAGAAGAAGAGGAGGAAGGAACAAATGAATGAGCTCAAGTCTACAAATGGGATTGATCTCCCCAAGATTCCCAGTGAATGACTCCTGGAGATAAAGCCAGAACTTTGCAGTGCCTAGGCCCAGAGACCTACAGGTGTCCTAAAGAAAGCTAGGGGGTGGGGGAGACTAATGCACTTCCCCCAAAGCTGCTGGCTCCTGCCCTGGGGAGATATCCTTCCTTAAGAGAGGTAACACTCACCGAACAACATCCACTGCCCCTGGCCGGACCTTGGGGTCACTTCCCATGATAGACACACTGGCCGCAAAGGAGCCGTCAATGCTGAACACAACACACTCCATGCCTCGGGGCAGCACCGTGAGGTAGCTCATCGCACAGGTCTGGTCACCCCTGAAAGGTATCAGCCTGAGGTCAGCCTGCCGCTGAAATCAGTCAGTCTTGGGCCCAGGTTCTGAGTAATGTCTCCTGGTACCATGGCTGGTGGCCTCTTCCCTTTTCCTCTCTCCGTGTAAACAGAAAAAAAAAAACTCTATCTTCCAGCCTGGATGGGAGAGCCCCCCCCCCAAAAAAAAAAATCCACCATGAGAACCTCACATACACACACACACCCTGGTCCTACCTGACCACCATCTTTACAGGGTAGACACCAACCCCCAGGCGCCGGGGCCGGGGCACATTGTATGTGATCCTGCCACTGTTGTTGGTGATCTCTGTGTCCAGGTGGACCCAGCGGCCTGATGATGGCTCTGTCATCACCAAGATGTCCACCTGCAGCCAGTGAAGGAAGTGAGGGACCTGCTGAAGCCTGAAGGACCACATGCTTGACAGCCCAAACAACAGACCCCTGGGCACCGCTTCCTACCTACTGTATCCTAGAGTTTCCTATAACCCTCCCTTCCAAGTGGTGGGCACACCGGCTTCCCCGCCTCTTTGGAGATACCAAGTTCCCCTTAGCCCTCGTTGATCTGCTGGGCAGGGAAAGGGCTGCCTGCTTTGTGCTCCAGCACTGTTGCTACTATCACCCTTTCTGCCCTGGGGTGCTATGAGTCACGGGGGGTTGGGGGGAGCAGGTGAGCCAAGGAGATGCTCAACCCCGGGTACCTTCTCTCCAGTCAGAGCCACCATGTCAAGAGGGCCATACATGAAGCGTCCCACCAGGACCTGGGGGCCATCTTCCGCAGCAATTACATCATTGGCACGGTGGTTCGCGGTAACGTTCTGCAAGGACAGAAAGAAACAACCCGGCTCAGCCTTTGCAGACAAGGCTCACTCTTGCTTTATCCTTAGAGCCTTGTGAGGATGGCTTTCTGGGCTATGGCGCCACTGAGTCAGGTGTCCCATGAGCGGCCTGCACGATGATGATTCCAGAAACAGCCCGTGAGTTACCAAAACCACTTCTTAGGCTGCTTACCGAGGTGCGCCCCATGCTCTTGAGTCTGCACACCTCCTGATGTGACAAGTGGCCTTTACAGCTGTCATTTGTTTTTAGATTCCTGGGCTGGAAACTACCCAGTCACCTTTGGGTCTTTCTTCTGCATAAACAGCTATTTACCAAGTGTCCTTTTTTTAGTGGAAATTTTCAAATACACAAGGACAGAAAGAGTAACACAGGCAAGCTTGTGAGCCTGACCAGAGCATACGCACTGATCTGCTGACTGCCACCCAGGTCTCCTTTCCCTGAAGCCTGAGCCCCACACAGAATAGTCAGGATAGTCAGGGCAATGTCCTGGATGGTGAGTTATTTCCTCCCTTGCTGCCTCGGTATCCTTGTCTTTCAGTTCTGCCCCACTCATTCTGGAGCTCCAAGTCCTGTGTCGGCCCCCAACTGTCCACCACTCCAAGGTTAGCCTTGGAGACCGTCGTCCCTCAATCTGGTGACCTTTTTACTTCATACCGGTCAAGTCTCTGTGTGTGCCACGCCCACAACTGTTGCATTTGGACCCTGAGAGAAGATTCCTAAGGGATCTCTGTGTTTCAGGGCTGCCTCCTGATAGATCTTGTCTTTACAGATCTGATCCTACCTGGGCAGCATCCCACACCTTCCACTGAAGTCCAAACCCTGAGTGTGGCACACCGAGCCAAGCCTGGCAGAAGCACCTCTGCAGTCTGTTCTGTTTTCCTGGGGCTCCTCCTCCACCCTCTTGTCCTGAAATCCCTTTGTTTCCAAACTTCAGCCCATCCCCTAGCAGCAGACTCACCTCCATCCTGCTATATCTATTGGCTCCCCAAAGATGTGATTTCCACCTCCTCTCAGCTTGCAAAGCCACATGATTCAGCAGCCACCCCAAAAAAATAAATAAATAAAACCCTTAGCAGAACTCATTGACACCAGTCCTTGAGAGAAACCCGTCACAGGACCTGCTCTAGCATGGGATTGGAGGTTCCTTTATGGGGTCACTGAAGAGGATGGATGGGTTCTTGGAAATAAGCATGTGCAATGGGTGATCAGCCATAGTGGGGATTCTCACACACGAAGATAACCAGAGTCAAAGAGACAGACAACAGTGGACACTGTGCTGAGGATGTGCCAGAATCAGAATCCTCAGACGCTGCTGGTGGGCGTAAAATGGGGCATCCACTGTGGCAAGCAGTAGGGTAGTTCCTCAAGAGATTAAGGGTAGAATTGCCACTCCCCATCTATACCCAAAGAAAATGAAAATATATGCCCACACAAACTGCGTAGACGAATATGTAAAGCAATATTATTCAAGACAGACAACAGGTAGAAATAACCCAAATGCCTTTCAACTGACAACTGGATGAACAGAATATATGGACACAGTTGAATAGGATCCAGTCAGGAAAAGGAGACGAGTTACTATACATGGACACAACATGGGTGAACCTTGGAAACATGCTAAGTGAAAGAAGGAAGACAGAAACACATATGTGACTTCATTCACATGAAATGTCGAGAATAGCTGAGTTCAACAACAGAGACCAACAGCAGAGACCAACATTAGATGACTGGTTGGCTACTCAGGGAAGAGCCAGGGACAGTGGAGAAGGGAACAGAGCTGCAGGGAAAAGGGGTTTCCTTTATGTGGTGATGAAACTGTGGGGGGAAGGGGGAGCCAGTAGCAGACAACTGTGAATACACTAAAATCCATGAATTTGACATTGTAAATGGCTGGATTATGTGATAGGTGAATTACATCACAAGTGTGCTCATGCACAAAACCGTTGATTCATGAAGCATTAGTCACTCTGCCTTTTAGGACTGTTTTTAGGACCCATGCTTGATGTTTTCTCACCAGAGTATAACTGCTCACCAGAGCACCGCTGTGCTGACATACTCTCAGCCTTCACATCATCCCCACAGAGAGACTGAAGCAGAGTAGGCAGTGATGGCAGTTGGCTGAGAGAATAAGTGAATGAATGCCTCCCAGACTCCCCTTTGTCCCCCAAGACCATACAGAGGAGCCCCATCTTTAGAGAAGCCTCGTGTGATCTGCCCTGGCAATCCTTGCCATCTTCATCCTGATGTGTATACCCTGTTGTGGCAAGGATCACCCCCATCCCTACGCAATGGCTCAGGGACCTGGGGCACAGGAAAGATCATCTATGTCAAGTCCACGTCTTCAGAAGCCCGGCATGGAGCAATCCTTCCACAACGGCCCTGCTTTTACCATCCCCAGAGCCCTGGACCTCCAGGTGGAGCCACAGACCCTGGGAGATCAATTCACACCGGCTCCCTCCTAGAAGCACTCAGCCCAGCCGGAGTGGAGAAGAGCCCTACCGGGAAACCAAAGTTCCTATCTGGCACATGGCTGCCCAGACTCCCAAGGCCACCTCTCCGACAGACACAACGGCAGCAAGATCTTACCCGCAACTTGACCTGGGTCCTCTTGCGCAGCCACTTCTCACGGGGGTTAGTGGGGCTCAGAGCCGTGGGGTCCAGGCCAGTGCTCTCCTTCACACTTGCGCTCTCATAACGCATCACCTAGCCAAAAGCGAGGAGGGGCTTGGTAGCGTGTTCTCAACCCTCGGCCTCCCAGGACAGTAGCCAGCCAAGCCCTGCTTCTGGCCTCCCTACGACATCACCTGGGCCCTGCTGGGGCTCTGGGAGCTGTCTCCCTTCCTACCTGTCTGGACAGCTGGAGCCAGAGAACTGTCCATTTGATGGCTCTGCTCTGGGGGCAGCCTCTGACCTTCATGCCTGAATCTTGCGGCTACCTAACAAGCATTCGTTTGTTCTCTGCCTTCCCTCCTTTTTTGCAGGTGACCTTTGCCTAAGGCTAGCTGGGGCCCTGACTCAGCCCTATCACCTTCTCAAGGCCATTGATTGCTTCAGCAGCCCTCCCTTCTCTGGTCTAGACCTTTTCTGCTGGGTCATTCTCTTTAACATCCCCAAATGCCTACCACAGCTCATCTCATATAAAAATGCCCTCTCGGGGCTGGAGAGATGGCTCAGAGGTTAAGAGCATTGACTATTCTTCCAGAGGTCCTGAGTTCAATTCCCAGCACCACATGGTGCCCTCTTCTGGCCTGCAAGCATACAAGCAGACAGAACACTGTATTCATAATAAATAAAATAAATCTTAAAAAAAAAATGCCCTCTCATTGGAGACCCTTATGCCTTTTCCATGGCACCAAGTTCTCCATGAGACTTCTGTACTCCATCTCTACTTCCCTACCTACCTCCTCTCCTCTGTCCACCCCAACAGCTCTGTACCCAGCACGCCACTGAAGCCACTTCAGTATGTCCCTGGAACTTCCATCGTACCTGTCTACTTGTTCAAGATTCTCCTCCAACCTATGGGGTTGACCTCTTCCACCCTTTCAGATGGGTCTTCCTGTGTCCCTGGGGAGCTCCAGACTTGTCTCTGAACTGATTTCTGTGGTGATCTTGTAAGCATCCTTATGAGTTTTCAAGACCAGCCAAGGTCCGATGACAGCCACTTTTTCATCTCCAGTCCTGATCATTTCTCCAAGCTCCAAACTCACTACCCCCCAGCACCTACCATGTGTCTCACCCCTCAGAAGCACAGCCTTGACTGCCCCAGCCCAGCTCCACTCTGCCAAAGTCCTAGGAAATGGCTCTCATGGTTACTCAGTGGGAAGACATGGCTACTTAGCTGGTCACTTCCCTCAGCTCAGACCTCAGTAGGTATTGCCACTAGAATCCACATGTCACCACCCCTTGGCACCAGGTGGGGCTCTTATACTACGTCTGCTTCCCGGGGACTCCAAGGCTCCTCTCTTGGACCCCCTAACAATAGCCCCAAAACTTCCTTCTCAAAGTTGATAGATAGCTCTCCCTGGCTCACATACCTGCCATACCCAGGTGACACACCAGACCTTCAGAACTGCCCCCTAACTCTATGTCTTCCTACCTCCAGGCTCTGGCTTTCCTGCTATTCCTTTTTAAAGACAAAGACACTGAGACTCAGAGAAACCAGGCATGCCTTTCTCCAGCCTCCATGTTGACACACAGGCATGGCTCCCTCTGCGGGTTTCCATTAACTATCTAGAGAGTTGGTGTTCTTGAAGGAACCCCTTCTCTGGCCTGTCACTTTCTCTTGGCATCAGTGCCCCAGTGCTTTCTCAACATATCAGAGATAGAGAGGCCAACTGCTCCATGTGACCCCAGGAGAATGCTGGGATTCCCGAGAGAGGCCAATAGGCTGGGCCCAATAAGGGAGCCACAGTACCTGTCTCAAGATGAAGGCGACCACATCGGTAGACTCCCAGTAGCTGGCGTGGAAGAGGTGGGGTAGGGCCACAGTAGGGAAGGCGGTGAGGACATCAGGACAGTACAGGGCGTAGTCAATCCTCTTGGTTCCCCACCACTTGGCTGTGACTGTGGGGCCAAGAAGGAGATGAGGACAGAACGGCCAGAAGACAGCTGGCACAGGCTCAGTGGAGATGTGTACCAGCGAGCTTGGGGCCACAGCACCAGCCCTGATTGTGCTGGTTGGGGAGGGGACTCCTGCCCTTTCACCAGCCCTTCTAACCCTAACCCTCCACTAAGACACGGGGCTCCCAGCTAGTCTCAAGAAGGAGGACCAGGCCCCTCAGAGACAGTCACAGTTGTACCCCATGGTACAGCTCCACAGCAATTACCCAGGAGCTCTCTCCAGGGCTAGGAATCAGTCTGCACCTGCAGAGGTCAGGGCTTAGCGCATGATCAAGAGATCAGAGGCCTGTGCAGGGTCAAAGGTCAAGGCTATGAGGTCAAAATTCAGTGGGCCGTGGTCAGAGGTCAAAGTTCCATTCAGCATCAGAACTCAGACCCAAAGGTTGGAGATGAGGCTTAGCTGTTAGCGTTGGCCTAGCGTGTGGCTTAGGCTTAATACCTAGCATTGAGTTTGGGGATGGGGGAGAAGCATAGCCCTAGCTGGTATATTTGGAGGTCTATCCTGGGTCATAGCTTAGTCTAGGAAATCAGTGAGGATTCAGTGGGAAACGAAATCAGCCCTCCCTCCAGCCCCTCATACCCCCATCCCCACCCCTTTCCCCAAAGACAGGAATGTCACCACGACTTCTTTCCAAGTCAACCCAAGAGGCCGCCCGCGGTAGCCCTGCTGTGGACCCATCACCACCCAGGGAAGGTCCCTCAGATGCAGGCTGGGCCCCAAAAGGACCTCACTCACTGCGGGAGGCTCCCATAGGTGCCAGGCTGTCCGAGGACTCTGAGCTGTCGCTATGGGAGCTGCCTTCGCTTAGCCTCCGTCCTGAGTGCTGGAATCTTGGGGCCTGAAGGGGTGAGGCAGGGGCATCCAGAAGCGGGGGACTTCCCCAGGAGCTGCTCTCCAGGAATAGGGGGCTGTGGGTGTGCAGGGCATCAGCTGGAGGGGGAATTGCAAGGTCAGGGCAAGCATTGAGTCTCCAACAGAGTGGCTTACTTAGTGCCAGCCCTAAGCTGGGCAAGAGACTGGAAATGCAAAGAAGCCAGCCTAGGTTTAGCAGGTCACCAGCACCCACTACCCCCCACCCCCACACACACCAGCATAGTACATTGCTAAGTTTCACCTCTTATTAAACTGTGAGTAATACAGATGTGAGTAGGGATCTCAACATCACCCTATCACCAAAAAGCTACAGAGAATTCTGGAAGTTGGGCCTTAAGGCCTAGCTGAAGTCATGATGTGATACCTAACAATACCCTCTCTCATCAAATTCCTCCCATGACCTACAGAGGCATAGGTGAAAATAGATGGAAATCACTCCAGCCTGCAAGCTGGGGGATGGGAGTGGGGGAAGAAACCTCTAAGTTGGGGGGATTCCCTTTTTGGAGGGAGCATTCAAGGTAACAGAACAGAGCTTTGGAGCTTCGCTTCTTCATGGAAGTCCTAGACAAACATATCCCTTTGAGATGAAGGACAAGGAAGGGTAAGTTTTAACCCTGAAATGAATCACGGGTATAGCATCCTCTCATCTCTGGCCCAAACCTCTGAAAGGATTAGGCTGGATTTCCTCAATGGTGATATAGAGCTATGGAGCCAAGACTCTGATTGCCAAGTGCCTGGCTGTCCATTCCAGACCTGCCTTTGGCCATATCCCCAGTCACATACATACTCCTTTTGAACCTAGGAGCCACTGTCTTTCTCTAAACTCACCTGACCTACTTGCTCTTATTGTCCCTACAATGCCTCTCTACCTATCCAAACACACCTCTCCTCCAGGTCCTTGGCCAAAGGCCACCCCTTCCATGAATCCTACCAGGACACACTCCCTGATGGGTCCTTGCAGGGTATGAGATGGGCAGTGGGAAACAGCACTGGGAATGCACCAGTCACTTGCCCTTCAGGGTCAACAACCCCACTGTTATTCCAGCCTTAGCCACAGAAGCTCAAATGGGAGCCTGCCGGGGTCTGAGGTGAGCAAAGCCCTGGCACCAAGATGCCTGGCACAGAGCCGGTCCCTGTCATAAGCAGCTACTCCAGAGCCAGCTGGCTTCCTGCCCAGGTCCTCTAACAGCATAGCCCTGTCCCCATGAGCCACTCCACAGCTGACAGCTTGAGAGGCTGAGCCAGAAAGAACATTCCCAGAACCTACCAACCTCCAACTCAGCACACTCTCACAGCCCCAGGACCTACCGAGCAGGAGAGACTGTCCATCGCCCAGGGGGAACCTCTGGTAGCGAGGCACACTGACGGGAGGCACCAGGTGGAACCTGGGCTCCAGCAGTGGCTCCAGCCGTGAGGCTGAGGGATCCGCACAGTGGAAGAAGCTGTAGACCTGGCTACAGGCAGGACGCATCTGGAAACCTGGGTGAGCGGGAAGAAGACACATGTAGAGGCCCCCTTCTAATGGCTCTAAAGGGCTCCCTGGAATGCAGCCTTGAGTAGCCTTCTCTCCTGCTCAAGAACCTCCCCTGGGTCTTTGCTACCAATCTTAGCTAGGGTTTCTATTGCTTTGATAAAACACCATGACCCAAAGCAACTTGGGGAGGAAAGGGTTTATTTCATCTTACTCTCAGGTCACACTCCATCACTGGGGGGAGTCAGGGCAGGAACTCAAGGCAGGAACCTGGAGACAGGAACTGAAGCAGAAGCCATGGAGGAGTGCTGCTTACTGACTTACTCAGCTTGCTTTCTTACACACCCCAGGACCACCTGCCCAGGGACAGGACCACGCACAATGAGCTGGGCCCTTCCACATCAATCATCAGTTATAAAAATGCTCCACAGTCTTGCCTACAGGCCAGCCTTATGGAGGCACTCTCTCAATTGTGGTTCCCTCCTCTCAGATGAATCTAGCTTGTGTCAATTTGACAGAAAACTAGCCATCACAGTACCCAAAAACAAAATGCCCAGTTTGGCATTGAAGGCCTCGCCAGTCTGCCCCACCTAGGGGCACCATGGTAGACACCCAGCACTGCCACCCTGGTGAACATAGGTAAGCTTGCTGCTTTCCTTCCTCTGTGTTCAAAGAGTCCTTCCTTTCTTCAGAATACCAGGCCTTCCTTTTACTATTTTAATATTTCCTTTTAATAGTTACAATAGTATTCCTTTTAAAATTTACGGTCTTCACACTGGGAGACTTCTTTCAGTTCCTCTGACCACACTCAAGTCACTACCAGATCTATGAAGCCAATCCAAGTCCCTTCAGACAGGTCAGTGGCCCCTTGGCCGGTGCTCTCAATGTTAGTCAGAGCAGGTGAAGCACTTCCTTCACTGGCCAGCAGGCGTCTCCTTGCCAGCCTCCTGTCCTGGGTCAGGGGCTTGAGTCTGCTGCACTTAAGGAAACCCTGAGGCTCCTCTGCAACACTGAGAGTGACCCTAAGTTCTACCATGCCTCAGTTCAAGTCCACTTCAGAGCCTCAGCAGCGAGCAATGAATGACAGCCTGCACTCCTGGCCTCAGACTGTCTGTAAGGCCCAGGCTGGTCAGACAGCATCATGATCTGCTTTGTAGGAGCTGAAAAAAGCTTTAGGCTTCAGATGCTACACGGGCAAAGGCACCAGTTGTCTGCAGGAGGTCTGCTGGGGACAGGGAGGGAGGGTTTGCTGGGATAGGGTAAATGAGTGTGGTCTATGTTCTCATGGGACGTGACAGAGGAGCAAGTAACCTCGGGGCACATGGAAGGGAGAGTGAAGTCCGTCAAGCCGCCCCACCTAGGGAAGCTGCCTGTCCTCTCGCCCAGCTGCCATCATTTCTCTGCATCTACCCCGCCTCCATCACTCTGCCCATCCTCCCACTCCACCAGTTTGCCCCTGAGCCATTGGCCTGACCATACCCACCATCTATCCCAGGCAGCACTGTCCTCCGCATGGCCAGGACCAGGCCCAGGGGTGAGCCAAAGAGGAAGAAGTCAGACACGTCAAAGTCAAAGCGACCCAGGCTGACCTCAGAGAGCTGGGGCGTGCCAGCTGCAGGAACCTCGGCCTCATCCTTCAGCACGCTGGAGTGGATGCTGCCAGAGGGAGGAATGGCAGATCAGAGGTGAGGCCAGAACCATGGGAGTGTCCACTCGGCAGCACAGCTACATTCTGAGAGCAAGGTGCCCAGCCAGCCCTCTACCACTGGAGTGGGACTCAGAACCAGAGATCACGTTGACATCATCCACACAGGCTGGAGACGCTCAGCATTAGCCACCCAGGCCCGGCCAACATTTGCCTGGAGCAGAGTTCAGCAAACATTTTCTGCACAGTGCCAGGTGGGTGAGTCTGAAAGACTCTGTGGGCCACCTGCGTCCACCGCGTGGACTTGTTCTTCTCTGTCAGACAGCCACGCATCATGTGTAAGCAATCTTCCACACCAGTCTGTGTAGCTGGGCTCTGCCACACTTTTCTTATGATTCCTGGCTGAGCACCTGAGAGCACCTGAGCGGCCTGCACAGACAGAACTGACCCTTCATGCTGTTTGTTAACAGCCACCCTGAAAGCCCCTGTACTTTCCACAGGAAGAACCCATCCTGGCCAGCACAAGGATCAGCTGGCTGCTACTGGGCATGGTCAGCACCAGTTTTTATCATAACTCATGTTCCAGGCAATAGGCAGGCATGGGTGCAAACAGCCTGGCCTCCCCACTCCCCTGGACAGATGCCTGAGAGCAGGATCCCACATTCTCATCCCAAGAGCCCAGCGTACCCTGAAGAGTCTAGGTTGTGTTTAGCCACAGATGCAGAGTTGGGCACTGAAGGTTAACAGAAGCCAGAGCTGCCTCTCTGGCCTTCCCAACAAGCACCAGGAAACAGCACAGAGGTTAAACCACGGCAGGGGAATGACATGATGTATCAGCCAACTTCTGAAAGCAAATCCGTCTAAAACACTCAAGCTGGAGAAAAACCTTTCAAAGTAACAGTCAAAAGGCTACAGGCGAGGGGCCCACCCTCAGGAGTGAGCCAGCATGCAGACAGGGCACACCCAGGCTGCACGCTGCTTTCTGCTCTCTCGGCCAACGATGACAACGTTGAACCATGTATATTTCATGTACAGCATGGTCCGTAAACCTGTGCCAACTATTTAGTTACCAGAGAAACAGCCATCTGTTCCTGCACCACAACCCAACAACCTGGCTGTGTTGGGCTTCTGAAAGTGCTACTGAAAGTGGCAGATGTCTGGCACTCTTTGGATTTGGGCTTTTCTAAAGGATGTTTGAAGGATGAACCAGAAATGTTAGGTTTTCACCTCGCAACCCTCCCTCCAGAGGATGATCTGATAGAGGAGCCTTCACATTCAAAGCTTAACCCACAGAACCTTCAGCCTCCTATCCCGCCTCCTGGAATCCAGGAAGTACAGTGGTCCCCACTCATCCACAGGAACGTATCACAAGACTTCATTGGGAAGTGCCAAACTCTTTGCATATAGTGCTTTTTCCTATACTTAAAGTACCTGGGATAAAGTTTAGTTTATACATTAGGCAATTAAGAGAACGATTAATAATGAAATGTAACAATTATAACAATATATAAAACTTATATGGGTGTCTCTTGCAAAATGTTGTACTTTCACATCTTCTCTTAGAGAGGACATCCACAGCTTCTCTTTGTCACATCTGAATCGTCAGCATCATTATCTACTTTTACACCTTGGAACCATTACAAAACAAAGCAAGGGTCATGTGAACATAAGCACTGTGGTACCATGACAGTGATATCTGAGATGGCAGCCACGTGATCAACAGGGAAGTAGCACACACAGAGTAGACACGCTGAACAAAGGATCGATTCATACCCAGAGTAAGAGGACAGCATGAGACTTTATCATGCTACTCTGTAGAGTATACAACTTAACAATTTGAACTGATCTACTTCTGGAATTTTCTAGGTAATATTTTCAGACCATGGTTGGTCCTAAGTAAGTGCGACAGTATTATACAAAGCCATGGTCAAGGCAAGACTACTGTAAGTCTAACACATACATTAATGTTTATCCCCAAAGATCTCCAGCCGAAGGGCTAGAGAGATAGTTCAGTGGTCAAGAGCATTGTGCTCTTGCAGACAACTGAATCCCAGCACCCACCATCAGGTAGCTCACAATCGCCTCTAACTCCAGCTCCAGGGGATCCAATGCTCTCTTCTGGCCTCTGCAGGTACTTGCACATACATACACAGACACACACATATATAAGTAAAACTAAATGTAATCTTTTTTAAAAAGATGTCCAGTGCAGTGCTTTTTATAACTGCAAAGAACCAGAAAAAAAACACAACATATCCCATTAGTGGTATTAAGGAAGTAGTTATTCATCCAAATTTAGTGCATTAAGAATCTTTACCAGCCAGGCATTGGTGGCCTATGTCTTTAATCCCAGCACTCAGGAGGCAGAAGCAAGCAGATCTCTGTGAGTTCGAGGCCAGCCTGATCTACAGAGTGAATTCCAGGACAGCTAGAGTTGTTACACAGAGAGACTCTGTCTCAAAAAAAACCACACAAACAAACAAACAAAGGAATATTTATCAAGTATTTTTATATGAGGGAGAGGTCACAGTATGAGGCTTTGGGATTCTTTGTTTTTAAGTAAAACTATATAAAAATTACATGTTTTAAAAAACACTCATCTGGGCTGGAGAGATGGCTCAGCCGTTAAAGGCTAGGCTCACAACCAAAAATACACGAGTTTGGTTCCCAGCACCCACAGCTGTCTCCCCAGCCACTAAAAAAAAAGAAAGAAAAAAAAAAAACACTCTTCTGATGACCCATGATGTTTATAACTTAGGGAGCAAGTGAGGGAAGGTGGAGAGGAGAGGAAAGGGGAGAGATGGAGAGGAAAAGTGCCCCCACCCTGTGCCAGTTTGGGTCCATGTTCAATGCTCATTTCTCTCAATCTGAATCAATGTGCAGGTGGTTCATTTAGCTGCTAACCATTTCCTCTAGAAAGTGAAAGGACAGTTTATAGAGTTTGTCATGTCCAAGACACCGATGTGAGTGCTGGCCCCAGATCTTTGGGACCCAGTGATGTGATACTCCCTCCTCCGAGAAACAACAAATATGAACCCCTGGGATAACCCACCAAGTACACTATCTATGACCTCTCTAGGTTCTCTAAGCTATGCCAAGAAGTGGCTGGACAGCCCTATCCTTTCACAGAAGAGGAAACCAAAGCCCAGAGACGGGTAACAGATCATGCCCAGTGTCTGCAGGGTTGAACAGAGCAGAGACAAACAGGAAATTCTCTGGTGTGGATGCAGAGTCAAGGACAAGTGGCCCTGGTTCCAGAATTTCCACTATCTATGGGCCCCTGTGGAAGGGTCTGGGATGACTGCCTGGTCACAGGCTCCCTTGGTGACTCTGAGCCAAGGTCCTTACTCTCATGGATACTGTTACACTGTGAAGGCCGCAGCTGGAGAAGGGTTACCTTGAGAGGAAGGCGTGATGCTGGGTGATCGCCTCGCAGTCATAGGTGGAGGAGTCACTCTGTTTCCGTGGCAATGGCCTCTTGGGCTCCTCATCCTCCACTCCACTGGATACATCGATGTTACTCTTGCTGAGACGCTTGCTGCTCGCCAGATCGCAGTCCTCCTCCACCACAGAGGTGTCCTTGAGCAGAAAGCATAGCGATCATGGGTGCCCTGGAGCCCTGCCTCCCCTGGGCATAAGTGAACCCCTTCTCCTAAACATGTGGAAACTATGCTTCCAAAAGGCTCATGGCGGTGGGGGGGGGAGGGTAACTTAGGCACAGAGCATTTCCTATGGCCACAGGGATGGACCACTTAGGACAAACACTAGTAGGCCTCCTCTCGGCCTGTTTCTTGCTCTGCGCTAACAGGCTCTTGCTATTTCCATAATAACCCTTTGTACCATAGACATCATAATGCCAAATGAAAGCCCAGCACTACCTTCCCTGGGGGAGCCACCTGCTTCTCTGTTCTTAGGAGAGACACCCAGAGACACATCCTCTCCCATCCCCCAGCCTGACCACACCTGGGTACTGCTGATGCTCCCCTTCCGGCTGCTGCTGCCAGGGCTGTCCCCTGAGGGTCCGGCACTGTAGCAGATGGCATCGAAAGCCAGGAGGCCGCCCACACAGTCCCCGATGAGACACACCTGCAGAGGCACAGCTGGGCTGCAGACTTGCCTGCCACAACCCTCTCACCCCAAATCCAGTCGGAGCAGGGGCGTGTTCCCATGAGAGAAGAGGGAATTTATCCCAACGGGTTGCTTAGAGCCCAAATGGAGGGTGTAGGCTCATCCCGACAATAGATTTCCTCTGGGGTCAGTCTGAGGTCAGTGGTCAGGCCATGCTTAGGAGTCAAACCAGCTAAGGGTCAGCATGGACTCCAAATCAGGGCAGTTTTTCTGTCTGTAAAATGGGGATCTTCCCCCACATCAAAAGCCTCCTTCAAACTCAGACGCTACAATTCTAACCTGCCTTCATCCCTGCAGCAGACCCCAGCCCGTCTTTCAGGTGGTGGCTGACACAGAGTGGGAGAAAGCAGGCTGTCCTACCTGGCCACTGAAGCCAATCCCATCCGAGGACTTGAGAAACTCTCCATAGATGTGGTTGGCCCTCTCGATGACAGTGGCAACAGCATTCTGGTACTGTGGAGAGGAGATGGCCAGCAGGGGCAGGGCAGCCAGGGGAACGTGGTCCTGGCTGGTGCTGAGGCAGCCCTCGTCGTGGCTATAGGGGTTCAGGCTGCAGACATGGGGACCCAAAGTCAGCCTAGCCAGGACCAAGGAGTGGGTGGTGTGGGGCTGTGGGCTCTTTGGAAGAACACCCATGCTGCCGGGGCACCAGGCCCAGCTCCGGAAAGATGTCAAGGCCCCAGGATAGGTCCCAGGAGGCAAAGCACAAGCATGGGGCAGGGGAAAAAAGGATGAGGACTCGAGGCTGCGCTGACTCCATCTATGCCGGTCCACGCCAGCCTGTGGTGTGGAACAGCCACGCTGTCTGGCAGGAGCCTAGAAACACCCCCCAATTCTGAAAGAACCTAGAGAATCAGCTAACATAGAACAGTATGGGAAAGTGGCATCGTGGTAGACCTCCTGGAGGAGGAAGGGGCTGAATTAGACTCCCAAGAGAGGCTTTGGGGAAGCTGAGAATGGAGCGGTGGGGGCACATCAACCATCGAGCTAGGACAATGGCTCCAGTGTGAAGGTGGCACCCAGGCGCCTGTGTGATGGTATGTTCCATGTGCAGGGGACTGATCCTCTGCTTCAGAGGTTTTGCAGAGAGAGCTGGGAGCCTGCCCTACAGAACTCCACTCCCAGAGGACACTGCATCCCTGTACCTCCCTCCTAGGAAGTCCCGCCCCCTCTGGACAGCTCAGACCCACCTGTCTTCCCAACCCTACCTGGATGGCCTCTGTCCTCTGGCACACCCACCCTTGATGCCTTGTTGGGCTTGGCTTTTTAGAACAGACACAAAGGAGTCTGAGAACGTCCTACCCAGGCCAACAGCCTGTCCCTTACCCTACATGCCTAGCTCCAGAGTGCCTAAAGCCTAGAGCAGACGGGACTAAGGACCGGCAGAATCTAGGGCAGGTGAGAGGACTCGGGCACCCTCAGCAGGTGGCAGAGTCCTAGCAGTGTGCAAGGCAGGCCCCACCAACCATTTCTCTTCTCCAAAGAACACAAATTAGAGGAAACAGGCCTCAATTGCAGCCGGAGAGATTTTAATTAGCCGAGAAGGAGCTCCCTCCCAGCAGTGATTACGGGTGATTAATGGCCCTGGCAAGAGCTGCCTGGGGGAGAGGTAAGCTCCCTCCTGCTGTCCCCTCAAATGGCCTGGACATCCGTCTTCCTGAAGATAGGGATGACCCAGCTCTGGGGGTCAGCCATCCTGGGGGTGGGTCTTGAGATGGATTGTGGACCAGCAAGATTAACTCTGGGACTGCTGTGAGTGTGAGGGACCAGAGCCTGGCCACCTGCTCAGCTGCTCCTAAATCCTACAAGAGAAAAGCAGCAGCCAGCCCTTGTCTAGGAAGCAGATTCCAGGGCTCCGCTCGCTCGGCTGCTCCATAGGCACCTGCACATCTTGTGTTTGACATGGGTCACCCCAGATACTGAGACAATTGGCTAAGCTAGAAAGCCATAGACCTAACGTGCTTCCTGGTTTGTATATCTGATGGAGAGCCACCTGAGGGGACCCTGGGAACCCAGGAAAACCATCCTCTGAGCACCAGTCAGGGAGTGAGCAGGAAGGGAATGATCCAGCCCTTGCTAGATCCTGAGCCACTGGAAGTGAAAAACAGGGCTCCTAGGCCCATCCCACACTGGAGCCCCTGGGCTCAGAGCTCCACCTCGCTAAAGTGAAGCACACAGCTCCCCTTCTCATGGGACTTTGAGTTTGCTCCACACAAAGAAGAAAGCCTGGAGGAGGGGCTTGGAGGAGGGGCTTTCCAAGGTCACGTGATGGGGTGTGAGGCAGGGGTGCCAACAGCTCCCCTTTCCCTCCACCTGCAGGACAGTCTGGCCTCCCTGCTTCAGTCTCAAGAACTTACTCACTGCCTGGGCCATGTGGGCTCTGCAGGTGCACAAAGACTATTTTGCAGACAACTGGAAAGAAAGCAGGTGTCCAGCTGGCTCCAGGGACCCAGTACCTTCAGCTACTTCAACAGTGACACCTAGGGCACTGGAAGCCTCAGGTCCCAGCATGGTGGGTGGAATTCCCCCACAGGACCAGTTCCCATAGAGCCGCTGGTCTCTCAGTCTGCCCCTCACTGGTACCCTGCACCACAATGCGAGGGATGTACTGGCACTTGCAGGAAGTGGCCTTGAGTTCAGCCTGTGCTTCTGTCATACTGCCCTTTCCCTCCCTGCTCCTACGAGTTGGGTCTCTACCGTGAGCTAGGACAGGACCATATCAGTATCATCTCACTCTCCACCAACAGGAAACAGGCTGAGCGTGCCCCTGGCCCCAGGAGGATGGATGCTAGTGTGGCAGCCAGTGGCAGCCCAGCTCTGTGTGGGTGGACACTTCCCATGTGCTGCGATGGGTTTAGACCCACCTGCACTCCAACACTAGCATCACCTCCACCTTACAGATGGGGGACTTAAGGCAGGAAGAGGTGACACAATTCCCCAAGGTCACGCAGCCAAGATTCAAGTCCAGGCCGACCAAAGAGAACATACACTTAGCCCACACTATGACATTCAAATCAACTCTCCTCCAGGAAGTTTTCCCTGACTGAGTACTTAGCCATATCTTGGGCTGCCTCCATTAGAGTACCTATCCCTACAGGGCTGGTCTCTGGAGTGAGGCTGCCTCGGTGTGACTCCCGGCTCCATTCTCTGGATAGCTGGGGGTTGGGGGGGGTGGATAAATCTCTCAAAGCCTGTTTTTTCTTTCATTGAAACTGAAGCACAGGAAGTGAGTCTGGGCTAGTATGGGGACCCTGGCACTCCCAGGTCCCTGACAGAGGACTCTTAATGACCATATCCCACGAAGGATGCTCTCAGCAATTCTGACTTGACACCCCCGACAGGCCTCCCAAGGCAAGGGTATCCCCTCCACGTACACCTCCCACACCAACCCCAGACTGTACAAACAAGCCGAAATGACTCACTTCGAGACGAGCGAGAAAGCCTCCGAGCAGATGGCAGGACAAGGGACAAATTTGATGAGGATGTGGCCCAGGGCAGCGGGGAAGTGGGCGCGCGTGACCTTCTCCAGCACGGAACTGAAGGTGTGAATGTCGGCCGCCTTGCAGGAAGGGTCACTAGAGCCGGAGTCCAGGACATTGCCCCCATGCAGCACCATCAGGAGAACGTGTGTCTTACAGGAACGCTGTGAGCAGCCTTCCTGAGAGGGACATGGCAGGGATAGAGGCAGGCAGGCAGCAGGACCCCAGGGATGCACAAGGACAGAGACATGGGGACGATGGCCGACACTCCACGACCCCTGTGGGACTCTGGGGCATCCAGAAGGCTCCCAGGAGGGCCAGACCCTCAATGGACAGGACAGCAAAATGAGCCTACAGTGACTCTTCTTGTGCCTACAGGAGCCTGAAGCCCAGAGAAGAACAGGGAGCTCCCCAAGGGTCATCCAGCAAGGAAGAACTGGATGGAGGCTAGGCAGCCTGTCTACCCTCCTAGGGCTCTTCCTAAGAGGCTGGCTACAGACAGACCGGATGCCTCTGAAACCCAGCACACCTCGCCATCTTCATGGATCTCGATGCTTCCTTGAGCTGGGAATCTCTGTCTTCTAAGGGACACCCGATACAGTTCTCCTGCAGAGAGGACAGAAAGAATGCAGCAGGCTCTCAACTGCCCTAGTGCTCCCTAGGTGTGGCTAGCCACACAGGGGAGGCCCTGATTTATTGGAAAGCTGGAGTGATAGTCGGGAGCTAGGGAGGGGCACCCAGTCCAGGACCCTGTCTCTGGAGTATATTCCACACAAAATGGCTTTGCCCTTCTAAAGAAAAGAAGCCCAGCTGAGGCCAGCCATCACAGACAAGACAGGATGTCCTAAGAAAGAGCTGCCCTGCGTACTTCTTCAGGGCAGAATGACGGCTGTGCCAGAGTCCTATGACAGCCAGGAACTTGATACGAAAGACCCTTGAGAACAGCTGGAGAGCCGCTGTGTCATCTAAGGGTGACCAGGCTAAGAGTCGCCCTGTGCCTCCCAGGTGTGCCTGTGGGGGGCTTCCAGGAGGGTTAGCTCTGACCACAGAGGCTGAGTTGAGAAGATTCAGCCCCTGGGGTGGGCAGGCGCCATCCCTTCTGCTAAGGTCTGAACAAAACAAAAGAGTTGGGATGGTCACAGTGTCAGCCTTGGGATATTATGTTTCTGGGTCTCCACCATCTGGCTGGAGTTGGGGACTTATATCCCTGGCTCCCCTGGAGCTCAGGCCTTTGGCCTTAGCCAGAAATGATGCCACTATATTTCATGGGCATTGGACAGAGGGCAGATTACAGGACTTCTCAGCCTTTACTGTTGTACCAGGACAGGACTCATTAGGAAAATTTCCTTTTTATTTTTGTTTTCCTGCTCTTTGGGGGGGAGGAGGTTGTTGTTTATTTTTCTTCTGTTACATTGTTTATTTATTTTGTTTGTCTATACATGCAGAGCATGTGGAGGACAACTCACAGAGTCAATTCTCTCCTTTGATCATGTGGGTCCTAGGGACCGAGCTCAGGTTATCAGGTTTAGCGGCAAGTGCCTTTATCTGCCGAACCATTTTACCAGCCTCTTTTTTGTTGTTGTTGTTGTTGTTTTGGTGCTCTTTACGTCTATAAATGTTTTGTCTTAATGTATATCTGTGTCACACATGTGTCCTGTTGTCCACAAAGGTGAGAAGAGCCGGGGACATCAGAGCCCCTGGGACTAGAGTTAGAAAGGGTTGTGCGCCACCATGTGGAGGCTGATAATTGAACCCATTTGTTCTCTGCAAGAACAAATGCTCTTTTTTTTTTTTTTTCAGAGCTGAGGCCCAAAACCGGCAAACGCTCTACCACTGAGCTAAATCCCCAACCTGAACAAATGCTCTTAACCGCTGTATCAACTCGCCAGTCTCAGCCTGCTTTTAAAAAAAAAAAATCAAACCTGATTGAAGCTCTTAGTGAAACAGCAAGACTTTGAACTATAGGACCATGGTCCGGGGAAGGTGACCACTCAGAAAGGGAAGGCTACCATCTGGCATGACACATGGCATCAAACAGGCACTTTGGGGTCACTCAGAAGTACTCTTCCCACTCCTGCTAGCTGTCTAAGCCAACATCTCCCCCAGGAAGGGTTTCTCAGGGGACCCCTGAGTTCCCACTGTTCTAACACAGGGTCCACAGCCAAGGATAGACTCTGCCACCTGTTTCTGTAAATGAAGTTTTCTTGGCACACAAAGAGAGTTCATCCCTTTATGTATCGTCTATGGCTGCTTTCACACCACAGGCCTGACTTCAGGAGTGGCGACAGACTCATAGCCCTCAAACCATAAGATGTTTATCTAGACTTCTCCGGATTAATGTGCCAGTGCTTGACCTAAGACCCATGCTCTCAGATATCCCACAGCCACCCTTTATACATCAACAATGTCTGCCACCCCAAGAGTCCTTGCTTCATCCAGCCCACCACGCCCCCCTCTCCCTCCCCCAAGAAATGGATACTACTGCCTGTGTGTGGCTGAAACTCACAACTCTCTATGAAGCACTTGTTTGTCTCTGTTGATGGGGAACTCCACTCTAGATGAGGATAATCCTCCCCAGTGCCCCTCTCACCCCAGAAGGGTTAATGGAGGTCTTTCCCACGGCTGTAGCCAACCTAGATCTAGATCAACATTCCCCAGCCTGATCCAGGGAGAACTACCTGCAACAAATTCTAGACAAGGAGTTGTTCTCAACTGGGAAGAGCAGTTCTGAACTGCTTAAATTCTGTCCAGTCCTTAAGACACAACCCTGGGCTAGAGGAAACTGCTCTGTGAGCTCTGAACTGCTGCTGTATGGATGTAAATTGTTTCCTGGGAAATGGGGCAGTTTGGGTCTTACGAGGAGGAGGCCAAGACAAGCGTTCCCGAGGCCTGGCTCTGCCTGCCACTGTTTCTAATTCTCCTGTCTGTTTTTGTCAGTTTATGTAGAGTGTGTGTGTGTGTGTGTGTGAGAGAGAGAGAGAGA